TTTACTTGAGAAGCATCTATGGATGCAAGCCAGAGTTTGGTTTGCTTTAACACAGCAACTTCAAAGCTAGCCACATCAGCAGGCATCTGGGTTTTCTGTTTCCCTCAGAATAATGGAAAAACCCATGGATTACCCCTTTTACCCAGGGCCAGGGGAGCTGTGCAGGGAGTGAGGGGCACCAGCAGGGCTGGGGGCTGTGGCTTGGGAGTGAGGGACTTGGACCTGCATTCTGTGACCTAAGGGGGTAGAGGGAGCTCTGATTTTCCATGATAGAAAACCCCAAATCACATACCAAAATTTATAGGTATTTAGAATGTATTTTATTATAGTGACTGGGGCACTGGTAGGCTTCAAATTGCTTTAAAATTGTAAATATATCAATAAAACATTGTGTTCAATTGATACCTATGTATGTATATATATAGTGGTGTTTCATTTTAATCATCAAGATGAACATGAGCCTGCAATGTGATGCTGCAGCTAGTAAAGCGACCAAAACGCTGGCTTGCATCCATAGATGCTTCTCAAGCAAATCCCGGGACATCATTCTCCCCTTGTACTCGGCCTTAGTGAGGCCGCAGCTGGAGTACTGCATCCAGTTTTGGGCTCCACAATTCAAAAAGGATGTGGAGAAGCTTGAGAGAGTCCAGAGAAGAGCCACGTGCATGATCAGAGGTCAGGGAAGCAGACCCTACGATAACAGGCTGAGAGCCCTGGGGCTCTTTAGCCTGGAAAAGCGCAGGCTCAGGGGTGATCTGATGGCCACCTACAAGTTTATCAGGGGTGACCACCAGTATCTGGGGGAACATTTGTTCACCAGAGCGCCCCAAGGGATGATGACTAGGTCGAATGGTCATAAACTACTATAAGACCGTTTCAGGCTGGACATAAGGAAGAATTTCTTTACTGTCCAAGCCCCCAAGGTCTGGAACAGCCTGCCACCGGAGGTGGTTCAAGCGCTTACATTGAACACCTTCAAGAGCAAACTGGATGTTTATCTTGCTGGGATCTTATGACACCAGCTGACTTCCTGCCCTTTGGGCAGGGGGCTGGACTCAATGATCTTCCGAGGTCCCTTCCAGCCCTAATGTCTATGAAATCTATGAAACTTGACAGGAGAGATTAAGGGACTGCTCTGATTGAAGCCTGTTTTTTTATGTCAGTGAGAATCAGATCAGGATTGTAAGGAGTTAAATATACGGCGCTTGGTTAAGGGACAGCCAAAAGGACAACGGTAAATGTCTTTAAGTATCTCAAGGGTAAGAACACCAAGGAGGAAGAATTACCAAATGCAAAACAAGGGAACATAATAAAGAGTTATGGGACAACAATCAAGAACTCAAAAATTCAGGCAAAGTTGCCAAACTGCATCTCCCTCCCCCGTGGTAACATCTGGTACAGGGCTGTCCAAATCATTTGGCCTTATAGACTAGCTCCAGACTGCAAACTTTTTCTTGGGCTGGACAGCCCACCTCCAACAACAGCTCAGTAACTTGTCAGTACAACTGCCGGAGCTGCTGCGTTGGCCTGGCTCTGAAACATGGGGTGAAATCCAGCA